TAATTGAAAATGTACACACATTTTTTCCCAGATTCCAATCACTGATGGCTAAAACAATTAAATTAAAAGTTTCAGTGAAGACAAGACTGATAAACTGAGTCAACACTAGTCCCAGAAAAAGTTGTTTGAATATGATGTTGGGAGTCAAGATGACTCGTCCAACCAACCACGATATTAAATTACTGAATGTTGTCAATATAATAAACAATGCCTGAATGACAGCAAGGGTAATGAACTTGCCACTTGAACTCTCAAAAACTATTTCTCCCATTCTTCTGGAAATAGAAAAAGAATAGGATGAGTAATTGAATGACTTGATAAAGAATTGTCTAATGATAATATGTTGTTCTCTTGGGTTTAATCGCAACATAACACCACACCACACCAGATAAGTAATTTTCATCACACAAATCTGAAGTGGGCTGTTCTTCATTCTATGAAGGTTAAGATTAACTCAAAGACAAGAACAAAATGTTGAGTATTGAGTACACCATATTTCATCTTGTTTTTTTATGAACAATGGAATAGTTGTCAATTAATATAATTTGATTATGCAGTAGAATTAAATTTGATATGTTTAATATATTTATTTTGTTAAAGATGACATTGTATAAAGATGTTCAGGAGCCTCAAAAGTATGAGTCTGTTTCTGGAAGCTCATTTTCTTGAGAGTCATGACTTATTAAAGCTGGAGATGTCCTTTTTGAAATAAAGCTAATAAAGATATTTTTGATGATATGTTTTATTCTATAACTGGAATCCATGTCCAATTTTCTGTTTGGCTATTGAAATTGTCATAAATTAAATAATTTCAAACATTATTTTAATGGAATCTCATAAAGTACAATAACAATCATTAAATATTAAAGTAAATATCTGTACATACCTAGACCTTCTTCTTACGGTTCTCTTATTAAAATGATCAGATAATTGCTTTGTATATCTATTAATATGTAGTTTATAACAGATTTAAACAGAATTTATATCTTAGATTATATCATAAGAAAATGATCAGTTTTATTGTTTATAGCATACCTATTTAGAATATTTGCATGCAAAAAACACAACTCTTATTGGTATGAATCAATTTTATTTGTTTTGTCAAGCATATTAACTTTCATGTAGAATAGCTATGGCATTTTTTGTAACCAATTTATGGCATGTTATTGTTTGCACTAATTGTTGATTTCGTGTTTAAATGTTTGATAGCTTTCCCACTAAGCTTTCAAACAATCAAATTATAATTGCATGTATATAACATCGTTTGTCACATTTATATAAAACCCATTTTATAGGAAAAGTCAATTATTATGTTTATATATAAATGTTTTAAAGAGAAAATGGCAATAATAATACCTATTGGAAATTTTAATGGTTTGGAATTTAAAAGGTGTTTTATTTTAAAAGTTCTCATGTATTTGGTCATAAATTGAAAAATACATTTCAATCACATTTATCGAAGATGCATAGATAATATGAAAATAAATCATTTGGTTTTCATTTGACTTTTAATTCCATTGTTAAAATTATTTTAATATTTATACCACTTAAAACCAGTCAAAATAATTCAGAAAAAGCATAATAAGAACTAGATCATATAATTTTATTATTTCAACAAAGGAGTTACAGTTTTTACGAGATTAACCGATTTCAAAATAACATCAGCGTTTGGTTTCTGTATTAATAGGAATTTCATCTTTGTATCACTCTTTTCTTTCCATGTATCAGATATGTTATATTCATTAAATTTCTACAAATGATAATCTTTGAGTAGGGTACCTCTATAGTTGTAAAACAGAATTTGGTAAATGGTTTTATTTTCTAACAGTTTAGGTTTGTGTTAAATGTGTTGTAGAAGCGGGTCCCACTGGTTCTCAATGAAATGCATTGTAAATACTTTACAAATGATAGAAAACAGTTGATGAAGAAACAACTAAAAGTTATACTGCGTTTAAATACCCAATGATATAGTAATATTCATACAATATATTTTCACTGTTAAAATAGTGCTCAAAATATCAATTGTAGAGCGGTATAGAACTATTAAAACAAAACTCAGTGTTAAAATAGTGCTCAATATATCAATTATAGAGTGGTATAGAACTATTAAAACAGAGCTCACTGTAAAAATAGTGCTCACTACATCAACTATAGAGCAATATAGAAATATTAAAACAGTTCACTGTTAAAATAGTGCTCAATACATCAATTATAGAGCAATATAGAACTATTAAAACAAAACTCTGTGTTACAATAGTGCTCAATACATCAATTGTAGAGCAATATAGAACTATTAAAACAGAGCTCACTGTTAAAGCAGTGCTCAATACATCAACTATAGAGCAGTATAGAACTATTAAAACAAAACTCACTGTTAAAGCAGTGCTCAATACATCAACTATAGAGCAATATAGAACTATTAAAACAAAACTCAGTGTTAAAATAGTGCTCAATACATCAATTGTAGAGCAATATAGAAATATTAAAACAAAACTCACTGTTAAAATAGTGCTCAATACATCAATTGTAGAGCAATATAGAAATATTAAAACAAAACTCAGTGTTAAAATAGTGCTCAATACATCAATTGTAGAGCAATATAGAAATATTAAAACAAAACTCACTGTTAAAGTAGTGCTCAATATATCAATTGTAGAGCAATATAGAACTATTAAAACAGAGCTCACTGTTAAACTATAGAGCAATATAGAAATATTAAAACAGCTCACTGTTAAAATAGTGCTCAATACATCAATTGTAGAGCAATATAGAAATATTAAAACAAAACTCACTGTTAAAATAGTGCTCAATACATCAATTGTAGAGCAATATAGAAATATTAAAACAAAACTCAGTGTTAAAATAGAGCTCAATACGTCAATTGTAGAGCAATATAGAAATATTAAAACAAAACTCACTGTTAAAGTAGTGCTCAATATATCAATTGTAGAGCAATATAGAACTATTAAAACAGAGCTCACTGTTAAACTATAGAGAAATATAGAAATATTAAAACAGCTCACTGTTAAAATAGTGCTCAATACATCAATTATAGAGCAATATAGAACTATTAAAACAGAGCTCACTGTTAAACTATAGAGCAATATAGAAATATTAAAACAGCTCACTGTTAAAATAGTGCTCAATACATCAATTATAGAGCAATATAGAACTATTAAAACAAAACTCTGTGTTACAATAGTGCTCAATACATCAATTATAGAGCAATATAGAACTATTAAAACAGAGCTCACTGTTAAAATAGTGCTCAATACATCAATTGTAGAGCAGTATAGAACTATTAAAACAAAACTCTGTGTTACAATAGTGCTCAATACATCAATTATAGAGCAATATAGAACTATTAAAACAGAGCTCACTGTTAAAATAGTGCTCAATAGTCAATACATCAATTGTAGAGCAGTATAGAACTATTAAAACAAAACTCACTGTTAAAGTAGTGCTCAATATATCAATTGTAGAGCAATATAGAACTATTAAAACAGAGCTCACTGTTAAACTATAGAGCAATATAGAAATATTAAAACAGCTCACTGTTAAAATAGTGCTCAATACATCAATTATAGAGCAATATAGAACTATTAAAACAGAGCTCACTGTTAAACTATAGAGCAATATAGAAATATTAAAACAGCTCACTGTTAAAATAGTGCTCAATACATCAATTATAGAGCAATATAGAACTATTAAAACAAAACTTTGTGTTACAATAGTGCTCAATACATCAATTATAGAGCAATATAGAACTATTAAAACAGAGCTCACTGTTAAAATAGTGCTCAATACATCAATTGTAGAGCAATATAGAACTATTAAAACAAAACTCAGTGTTAAAATAGTGCTCAATACATTAATTGTAGAGCAATATAGAACTATTAAAACAGAGATCACTGTTGAAATAGTGCTCAATACATCAATTGTAGAGCAATAAAGAAATATTAAAACAAAACTCAGTGTTAAAATAGTGCTCAATACATCAATTGTAGAGCAATATAGAACTATTAAAACAGAGCTCACTGTTAAAATAGTGCTCAATACATCAATTGTAGAGCAATATAGAAATATTAAAACAAAACTCAGTGTTAAAATAGTGCTCAATACATCAATTGTAGAGCAATATAGAACTATTAAAACAGAGCTCACTGTTACAATAGTGCTCAATACATCAACTATAGAGCAATATAGAACTATTAAAACAGAGCTCACTGTTAAAATAGTGCTCAATACATCAATTATAGAGCAATATAGAAATATTAAAACAAAACTCAGTGTTAAAATAGTACTCAATACATCAACTATAGAGCAATATAGAACTATTAAAACAGAGCTCACTGTTAAAAAAGTGCTCAATACATCAATTGTAGAGCAATATAGAAATATTAAAACAAAACTCAGTGTTAAAACAGTGCTCAATACATCAATTGTAGAGCAATATAGAACTATTAAAACAGAGCTCACTGTTAAAAAAGTGCTCAATACATCAATTGTAGAGCAATATAGAAATATTAAAACAAAACTCAGTGTTAAAACAGTGCTCAATACATCAATTGTAGAGCAATATAGAACTATTAAAACAGAGCTCACTGTTAAAATAGTGCTCAATACATCAATTATAGAGCAATATAGAACTATTAAAACAGAGCTCACTGTTAAAAT